CTATCGATCTATAGCATAGTGATCAAGAGGCTAAGACTCACTGGAACCCTCACACTGCCATTGGTGCAGGAAAGCCCCACCTATAAGACAAGACCCCAGAGTGACCTCAGGTCACAGCCCAGACAGGAGGACTAACCCAAATCTGTTCTCTTAGCCTTCCCCACGTGGATACCCATTGTATGGGGCACCAAGAGAAGAGATTGATAGTGACTGCTGACCCCACTGTAATGCCTAGCCCCTTCTACTCCTATCCATAGAAGAACCAACAGTCTAATGTGCCAACATGGGACCAAGATTTTATTTTGATGAATCAGTGCATTTTTTTTTTTGCAAGATTCTACCAAGAATTTGTATCTTGGGAATGCAAAGTCCAGAGACCTAACTAGTCTGGCTTGGTAATGCAGCAAGTAAGAGTGCTGGGTCTAGAGTCAGAAACACTTGAGTTCAAATCCAACTTCAGATATATACTAGCTCTGGGAGCCCAAACAAGTCATTTAACTTTTTTTGCCTCAGTTTTCTCATATGTAAAATGGGGAAAATAGTAGCACCTACTTTCCAAGGTTGTTGTAAGGATCGAATGAGATCATATTTGTAAAGCACTTAGAGTCTTATAAAAATGCTAGCTACTGTAGAGAAGTGAGTATTAACATTGTTCATTCAATAAGAGTTTGAATTAGGCTCCTGTAGGAGTGACTTAATAAAGCTTATATTAGTGGCCCTAACCAGGGAATACACACATGTGCATAAAGCAAGCAGCAAAGACAAGCTGGCTGCTGGATGCATGGTGGCCAAATGGGCAGAACATTTTATTAATGCTTCACAAGGATCTGCCCTAGATAATGATGATATACTGGAGAGATATACTGGAGAGTTGTTCTGGAGAGAGAGAGAGAGAGAGAGAGACAGAGACAGAGACAGAGACAGAGACAGAGACAGAGACAGAGAGACAGACTTGTCTAAGATTGTAAATCTCATCAGGTGCCAGGGCCATGAAAGAATGCCAAACAGGCAGAAAGACAAACCAGGGCTCTGATGCCCTTTGGGATATGGCAGATTGACAAGCAATGCTTTGATAGAGAAAAGAGGGTAGAAGAGGGCTCCAAATAAAGTCACAGGGTAGGGTTTTTTATCTGGAACCCACAAGTTGCAAATGATTTGAATAAGTGACCTTTCTCCAGCCAGTCTATTTAAATGGAATTATTTCACCAAATATTTCCATGACTTAACAGAATGCCTCATTGTTGTCCAAAAAAGGTTAATTAGATTCTTCAGATCAAAGCCTTATCATCAGAATGAATTGCAGGCTTAGGCTGGTAGGTTTGTTGCCATTCTCTTAAAGATGTAAAAACTATATGTTTTTACTTAAATACTTGTCAAAATATTAGAAGACACCCTATTTTCCAGAGTTAAAGTCCAGTAAGCTATGACCTGAGCTTGGCATAACAACAATCCTTTGCTCCCACCCTCTGGCAAAAATCACATCATTATTGTATTTCCTTGACCAGCACCAGGTGTTCTCTGAGCTTGGACAAACCCTGGACAGGTAGCCATGCTCCAGCCATGAAGCCCTGCTAGGAATCAAACTTGTCTCACTGTTGCTGTTACCCCTCATTGTCAGGGCTATGGCTCATTGTAAAATCATAGGTATAAGTTTTGAGATCCCCCACACTGCCATGGGTCCCCCAACTGAGGGTAGGACTCTGGCACATGTATCCTTGCTTGCAAGCTGTTTTCCTCCCTTTTAAATTAAACTTGTTTGATTCCTAACTCTCCTGTCTCTAGCCTGCTCTATTCAGCTCCAGTCATCCACAAATTGGAGGCCAGTTTGGTCTGGTTGACATGCTACGACAATATTAGGACCACTCCCTTGTCTTGTTGTGGTGCCATAGATTGATGGAAGCTTCCTAGAGCATGTACCTTCACCTGGTGGAGGAGATTACACATGCAGACAGAGAACATACTCAGAAACATCCCATAGGACAGCCTCTGATTTCATGGGATTCTCTCCAACGCTGCTTATGACTGGCATCCTCTCGAAGGTACCTGGGGTCTGCTTACCTTGAGACTGATTCATCTGTAAAAGCATTCAGCCCCCTTTATCTATACCAGGACATAAACTCATACCCCTAGCAGCTATGGGCTATATACAGTTTGCCATCTATCTAGTAGAGTAGACTCCCTCAAGAAGACATGTGAATGACTTCATTTTCTTAAGTCAAAGACCAGCACCCACAAAATGGCAGTGGGACGGATGCCCCCTTGTAATCTGCTGGGATGAGTAGGTACAGTAGTGGTCTATACGCTTTCAACAAACCCTGTGGTTGGAGCAATGGAGGGTGGGGCCTCTTCTTGGCTCCTTGAAATCTAGGGTGTTCCGAGCTCAAGAGTTCATAAAGGCTTTTCATCCCCACTGTGTTATCATTGGGCATTATTAATCCTGATGAGGGGGTTGAGTTGAAGAGATCATGAACGGTATATCGAAGGTCACTATGTCCTGCTGGAGCCTCTGCCTCCTGGCTTTCTTTTTGTTCCTTTAATAGATGGCGATTGAATTTGTTGAAACCAAACCAATAGAATGTAAGTCAATTAGCTGACAGCTGTTTACTGGGCTATGGTTCCCATGGCAATTGGTTAAAATCTTCAATAGCAGCCTGCAGGACCACAGCCAGATTTTAACTTGGCAATCAGAGCCTCACACTGTCGTCTATCAACTTTGAACCATCCCATCTCATCCCTTTCAATTCCGAATCACGAACAGTCTGCCCCACACATTTGGGACTAGTGCTTCTAGACTCATCTTGCCTTTCACTAACTGAGGCTGCCTTTTTTTTTTAAATTAATTTATTTTGATTTATCAACAATGACTTCCATACGCTTTTGAGTTTAAAATTTTTCTCCCGCTTCCTCCCCACCACCCTCCCCACCACGGCGCACAATCTGATATAGGCTATACATATACATCCCTATTAAACATATTTTCACATTAGTGATGTTGTAAGTAAAAATTAGAACCAATGGGAGGAACCACCAGAAAGAGGAAACAAAACACAACAGAAGAAAAAAAAAAGCAAATAGTATGCTTCAATCTGCATTCAAATTCCATGGTTCTTTCTTCTTTGTGGATAGCATTTTCCATCATGAGGCCTTAGGAGATGTCTTAGATCCCTGTATTGCCAGGAAGGGTTAAGTTTATCAATATTAGTCATCACACAACATGGCTGTTATTGTGTACAACATTCTCTTGGTTCTGCTCATTTCACTCAGCACCAGACCATACAAGTCTTTCCAGGTTTTTCTGAAGTCAGTCTGTTCATCATTTCTTATAGCACAATAGTATTCCATTACATTCATATACCACGACTTGCTCAACCATTCCCCAATTGATGGGCAGCCTCTCAATTTCCGATTCATTGCCACCACAAAAAGAGCAGCTATGCATATTTTTGTACATGTGGGTCCTTTTCCCATCTGTATGATCTCTTTGGTATGAAGCCCTAGAAGTGCTATTGCTGGGTCAAAGGGAATGCACATTTTTATAGCTCTTTGTGCATAGTTCCAAATTGCTCTACAAAATGGTTGGATCATTTCACAACTCCACCAACAATGCATTAGTATTCCAATTTTCCCACATCTTCTCTAACATTTATCATTTTCCTGTTTTGTCATGTTGGCCAATCTGATAGATATGATGTGGTACCCTCAGAGTTGTTTTGATTTGCATTTCTCTAATCAATAGTGATTTAGAGCATTTTTCATATGACTACAGATGGCTTTAATTTCTTCATCTGAGAACTGTCTGTTCATATCCTTTGACCATTTATCAATTGGGGAATGGCTTGTATTCTTATAAATTGGACTTAATTCTCTATATATTTTAGAAATGAGGCCCTTATCAGAAAGACTGGTTGTAAAAATTCTTTCCCAATTTTCTACCTTCCATCTAATCTTAGTTGCATTGGCTTTGTTTGTGCAAAAACTTTTCAATGTAATGTAATAAAAATTATCCATCTTGCTTTTCATAATGTTCTCTATCTGTTTGGTCATGAATTCTTCTGTTCTCCATAAATCTGACAGGTAAACTATTCCTTGCTCTCCCAGTTTGCTTATATTATCAGCCTTTATATCTAAATCATGAATTCATTTTGACTTTATTTTGGTATATGGTGTGAGATTTTGGTCTATGCCTAGTTTCTGCCAGGTTCTTTTCCAGTTTTCTCAGCAGTTTTTGTCAAAGAGTGGGTTCTCATCCCAGAAGCTTGGGTCTTTGGGTTTATCAAATAATAGATTGCTACAGTCATTGACTACTGTGTCTTGCATACTTAACATATTTGACTGATCCACCACTCTATTTCTTAGCCAGCACCAAGCAGTTTTGATGATTGCTGCTTTATAATACAATCTAAGATCTGGAATGGCTAGGCCTCCTTCCCCTGCATTTCTTTTCATTCGAGGCTCCCTTTCTTAGCAGATGCTATGGGGCAGAGATGTGCTGAGTGAGATTCCCTAACTCTTCCTCTTCACCCACCAATATCCTGCCCACATCGGGAAGGTCCTCTCACCTGCCCCCTACCTATCTCAGTCCTTTCCATTCTCTAAGGGCTTCTTGAATCCCATACTCTGTCATAAACCTTCTTTAGGTAGCCTTTCCAGCCATCATTCTGCATAAGAACTTTCCCCTCAAATGTGACATTTTAACTACTCATCATCATCACAACTTAAGTTCCTTCAAGCTGGGGATTGTTGTCCTGTTCTCAGTGCCTGGTATATAGCAGGTGCTTAATAAATACTTGTTAATTGATCTGGAACCCGAGGGTTTGAGTTCTGCAATTTGACTACCTACATCATCCTAGTCAAGTGACTCAGCTTCTCTAAGCCTCAACTATCACATCTGTGGAGTCATTAGCACATTCAATGACATTCCTCTGGACTGATCTCACAAGGCAGAGTATTTGAAGCCAAAGGACACTGGTTTTATCGATCCATCCTAAAGTGGCACTTACCAAAGTATTCATCAGAGGGAGGATTCTCCATGTCATACAGCATCTTCTTGGTGAGATGTTCCAGTTCGTCCTCTGGGCGGAAGGATGGGCCAGACACAGGGCCCCCAGGACCGGGGAGGCCACCCTGGAAGAGGAAGAAAATAAACACCTTTAGATTTCCCCAAAACACTAGGAAGCCCTTCATCTGTGCAAGACACTGACTTTGAGGTGGATAAATTGTTAGATCCCTCTGTGTGTATATGTGTGGGAGCTCGCTCTCTCTCTCTCTCTCTCTCTCACACACACACACACACACACACACACACACACACACACACACGTACATGGTTGTAAAAGTGGATGGATAGAAAGAATCCTGGTACTTGAAGAGAACTTGAAGGGTATCAAGTCAAAACTATACTTGGGAAAGCATCCCCAATTCAACCAAAAGTCGCCATGTAGTCTTGGAGAGAACCTACTACCTTTCAAGGAAACCCATTCCACTCAGGGTTAGTGCTCAGCCTTAATGAGTTTCCTGACATTGATCTCCTTAAGAACAATGTCTTTTGCCTTTCCTTTTCTCCCCCACCCCGCCACACACAGTGCCTGGCACCTTGTAGGTACTTAATAAATGCTACTGAACAAAACTGATTGTCCAAATTTACCTCTTTGCCACTTCCATGACTCATGGTTCTACCCTAGGAAGCCAGAAAGAGGTTTAAGCCTTTTCTACATGAAAAGCTTTCTAGGCTATGGCTTCTTCAACTTAACCTCCCCTCATTCAAGTCCCAGCTCTTCCACTTACTACTATGTGTGACTAATTCACTATGCCTCAGTTTCTTCATCTGCAAAAAGAGATGGTTGCATTATATGATCTACAGTTCCATGATCCCAAGGCTGCAGCTTTAAGACCATTGAAGGATTATAGGCTGATTGGGCAATAGCCCAAGGAAGCTTGGATGAGGTTCTCAGGCCCCAGAACTCTCTAAGAGCACTTGGCATGGTATGATGACGTGGTAGCCCATGTTGCTGGAGCATATATCCACAGAGACAGAACCACAAGGTCTTGGAATATTGGAAACATTTCCATACTGCACACTATTCAGGGAAGGCAGTGAGGTATTACATGAGGTTGATAACACTTTACACAGTAAACAAAACAGAATCAATCCAAGAATTGGTAGCTTGATAAAGAAAAGGAGGCTGGCCACCATGGGATCCCCCAGTTCTAAGGAGGTTCCGGAGGCTGTCTGTATCCCAGACTCAACAAATTAACACATGCAGGTCCACTAATGCACAGAGAAAGGAAACCCGATTTTTTTCTGGAAGGGTCTTGTAGTTTATCAGACAATGCAGGGCAGTTATTGACTTGCCGTGCCTTATGGACAAGAGACAGGGCTTCTCATATGACCCAGGCTGCTAGAAACCAAGGTATTCTTGAGTGTCTGGCAATCCAGAACAGTGAGGAAAATGATTCCCTGTGGACACCGTGAACCAGGAGAGGATAAAATTGAACAGATGAATGTATAAGTTAAAAGTACCCTACCAGGCACATCCCCTAGGCTGAGTAGTAGCACAGCCCCTAGGACTTGTGAACAGGTGAGCCACTGCTCCAAGAACTCCTTGAACTGACCAGGATGCATCCTACTGCTCAAGCATTTCCCTTCAGCGCACACACACACACACACACACACGCACATATAAAGTATATGTCACATATGCTCCTATCTGCATACAAGTTGTTTACCATCAAGAGAGTGTAATCTCCCGAGTTATATTTCTGGCTTGGCATCTCCATTTCCTGCCACACAAGTATCTGAGAAATACTTCTTGAATGAAATTCAATCAATATTCTCTGAAGACACTGCCCCAAACACATCCCTAAGCACCCATTCTGGGCCTCGGCTGGCTTTCACAGAGAATCAGAAACCTGAACTTGGGGTAGTGATCTACAAAGAAGCACAGGCCAGGTGTGTATCCACCCCTCTCTGCTATGGGGAGTTTCAATTTTTGCTAGTTTATTTGAATAGAAAAGAGAGAACAGGACGCAAGAAGAATATTAAGTAAAGACAACGAGAAGCAGTGCTGGGCCACAGAAGAGTTAAAATATTATTTTATTTTCAGAAATGGAAATGACAGGAAGTGGCAAGAGGACTGGCCAAGCTTGGTGTCAAGAGAGACACGGGTTCAAATCATTCTTCTGATACTGACCATCAAGTCTTGGTTTAGTTACTTGCAAAACAGGGAGCAGGGGATTTAGGGCTGGAAGGAGACCTGGAGGCCAGTTTGGTGAGAGGTATAAGCATATTTCCAACAATGGTCAACTTAAAAGATCATTTTACAGATGAGGAAACTGAGGCATGATAACTTGCTCAGGCTCACACAGGTAGTAAACTCCTGAGGCAAGGAAACAATACACACACACATACACACACACACACACACACACACACACGACCAACAGGGCCTTGTGGTGAGGGTCACTGGAAGTTCTTTATAACGTCTAGTAGGAGTTTGAGGTAATGAGGGCAGGTAGTATTGTCCCCCTTTTACAGATGATAAAATGGAGGCTCTGAAGTGATAAGAAACACAATCATTATGCCTGTGTGACACCGATGGAGGATTACTCTCAGACAACTTGAATGCATCTAGTTCTTTCCTAAAGCAATGGAAGACTTACGAGAACTAAGGCAACATCAGGGAAGCAAAAGCAGGAAAATCACACACAATATGGCCGTGGAAACAGAAATGGAAAATGAAAGAAGCATGCTGCAATGTAAGCCTGTGGACGCCTAACACCCAGGCCTGGCCTCAGTAAAAAGAGAGGAGAATGGACTTTCCCCACCCTTCTTTGCACAGGTAGGGGACTACGGGCACGGAACATTGCACGTAATGTCAGATTTCAGTAATGCATTCATCAGTTTTGTTCAATCGTTTTGTTTTTTCTAGATTTTTATTTTAGGAGATGGTTTTCTGGTACAGGAGCAGGAAGAAATAGATTGAGAATTAAAGGTGATATAAAAATGTAATATTGATATATATGTATATGTATGTGTACATGTATTTAAAAATATCATATCATATACACATACACAAAATACATATGTGTGAGTATAAAAACACACTTTTCTTTTTTTAAACAAAAATCTTTTCTACTGAAGGCCTGGAGGCAGCTGGGCTTCAAAGCACCTAGGACAGTCCTCAAACAACTTCTGGGTCTTGTTCTGATTTCTAATTCCCTTGGTCTTTACATAGCACCTTTCCTCGAGGGAGTTCCAACTGTTTCACAAACACTGGCAACCAAACAAATAGAAAACCTCGCCTTGAGGCTGGGAAAAAAAGCAACTATCTCATTAATTTAGAAATCACAAAAAAGAAAAATATTACACAGAATAACCATCCCAAACAAAACCAAACTCTGTCTTCTAGAAACAAAAAAAACAACAAAAAAAGCAAAAACCAAAAAACACCCAAAAACACAATAAGGGAAACTAGGTCCAGGCCTGTTGGAGGGGTAGAGTGGGACTGAAAGCACGTGTAGTCTGCAAGGGGCCAAGAAAGTGAAATGAGGCAGGACAAACCAGGCGTCTGCAACAAGAAGAACCGAAAGGATCCTTCTTGTCTTTGGGGCTTTGTAGCAACCTGGGCTCCTGACACATTCTCACTTCTTGGCAGGCTCCCTGTAAGAGGCAGCACAGGTACCACCAGGAGCCCAGAGAAGGCCATTCTTCTGATCCCCCCATAATTTCTACTCCTTCAGGACTTTCAGTCCTTTCTAATCATGACCCCTCTGGGGTTTTCCTGGCAAAGATACGGGAGTGGTTTGCCATTTCCTTCTCCAGCTCATGTTACAGATGAGGAAACTGAGGCAAACAGAGTTAAGTTGCACAGTTAGTAAGTGTCTGAGGACATATTTGAACTCTAGTCTTCCTGACTGCAGGCATGGTATTCTATCCACTGTGCCACACACCTCCTGTACATGCTCCCTCATCCCCCACCAAAGTTACTTCCTCATAATTTTCTGTCTAGGTCATGTTTACTCATGCATGTGAGGGTTAAAGTGCTTTCTCTCTACAACAGTGTGAGGGCATAGACTGTTTGGTTCCCTGCTTTGTAAACCCTAGTGCCTGGCACATTGTAGGTCCTTAATCACTTTTTGTTGACCTTAAAAGTAAAGAGAAAAGAAGAGAAAGTTATCTGACTGTGAAATCAGACAATTTCAGGTTTTTTTCTCCTTTCTGTGGAGACCTGTGTGATGCTGGGCATGTGGTTTTACCTCTGTGGCCTCAGGATCTTCTTCTGTAAAATGAAGAGCTTGGACTACGCAGACTCTAGAATTATTATACTGAGAATTCAGGTTTCGGTGGGTCCCTTTACTGTGTTTTAGGAGAGGTTGTTTTTATTGTTTAATTTTGCATGATATTGGGTAAAAACAAAAACAAAAACAAAACAAAAAAGGACAAACAAAACCCCCCCTGCTCTACCTAAGCCGTCCTCTTTAGTTCAACTCAAACCACTCTACTCTTGACTGTGGTTACTGGGGATCAGGTCAGGGGTGAAGGGACGGACTGTGTACAAAGTTCACCCTATTTCTCTAGATCAGGCTTTTACAAAAATCCACAGAGCATCTGAGGAAATAAAGATGGAAATGCGGTGGGTTTGGGGGAAGGGGGTCAAAAACTCTCCCAGCCACAATTTCCCTGTTTGACTTTGTGTTACTCATTTCCTTTTTCTCTGTCTGATAAAATCATAATGAGGAGAAGAATTATAACAAGTACTTCATAATTCAGATTGGTCATGGGAAAATAAAAATGGGGCAAGGAAGGCCTCAGAGTTCTGGGAGCCCATCTGCAGGAGCATGAAATGAGGACTGGACTTCACAGACACCAGAGCAGGAAGGGACCTCTTCAGTGACCAGAGGGATGGATCTGTCCATGAACCAAATGGTCAGCTGGAGTGAAGGGGGACCTCCTCATGACCTCCCCAGGCAGCCCATTCCACCAAGAGACAGCTAATTGACAGGAAGCTTTTCCTGACGTCATGAAGCCAACTCAACTGTGTCTCCAGACCTTTCAGTCATACAAACATTGGGAGAGAGCCAGAGTCCAAGGATGAGGATTCTCAAGTTCATCCTATATTTCAGTG